AAAATGTGTAATTAAATTACAGTTACTTATGAAAATGTTAAAGATTACAAAGGGGGGTTACATATGAATATTTACACACACAGATTTAACCAAATGTTAGGCCTGTCACGATAACAACTTTTTTTTGTGCGATATATTGCCCCAGAAATAATTGCGATAAGCATTATTATTGTCATTTTAAAGACCATTTTATGCCACTGAATATATAATCATAATAATGCAAGAAGGCCTACACACTTCCAAATGACAACAAACTTTTAATTTTTAAGAATATTTTGATCATGGAAATTAAGTATCAAAATATTAGATGCCTTAAAAAACTTGAATAAATAGTAAATAAACATTTTCTAACAAAAAGTGCAAAGTAACAAGTACAAAAAAAAGAAAAATGCACAAAGAACTTGTATGGAGATTTTTCCATCTACAGATACTTTTTTTCTGTAAATTAAGGGTGCACACTATTGCTGAAAAAAACAATCACTACTTAGCAGTCAGATGTCCGTATGCACAAAGGCACAGATCCCTAAACAAGATCATATCTGCAGATGAAACTTTGTTTGTAGAAGCATTTTTTAAATGTGAACTAGCACCTCATGACTACACCACGTTATGTATGAGAAGCTGCAAAAGACACAGGCGCAAGTGGAATGTAAAAAACACGGTGACAATAATTTTTAAATAAATATAATGGGCGATATATTGCATCACCAAAAATTTTTGAGGTCATGTACATATGTTGCGCAATAAGTCGATATATTGATTATTGCGACAGGCCTATTACTTATTATTGGAGAAAGCGTAACGGTCAACTTGGATCACGTGTGCCTTAATAACCAATCACATTACAGCCTTGATGTCATTGAATTTCAGTCAGTGTTGCGCGACACTCAGTCGCATTTACGGATACCATAGGAATGAATGAGAAGTACCGTAAGCTGAATCCCACCTGTCGCACAAAGTCAGTGACTTCTTGAGGGCCAGAGTTGAGTATGACATTAGTATGACAACAAGTCATATGTATGAAATAAGAGAACTGTTTATCATTCTGAAGTGTATGATTTATTTCCATTTCTTGTTTCCTCCTTTAATCCTTATTGAGATAGTTATGCATGTGCAATCTATAATAACCAGTCTGCCTTTTCTCTGATGTTCCTCTCCTGTTCATTTCTTTAAGTGTTTGCTGAGCTAACCTGCCTTTAAGCGCTGGACTCACCCGTGTGTGTCTGACCATCTGATCTGTTTCTGGTATCTCACTGCTGGGGATAATAAGATTATTATGATAAATCAAATCTGTGGAAATACGGATCAGAAGACTTTTATTACACTTCCATGTCTGCACAGCGGAAGGATTTGGTTCTTGATCAAGAGATGTCTCTGAGAATAACTCACCACTATCCCTGTTCACCACTGAAGATGCTTTCATACATTAAAATGGAAGATGGTGAAATGCTATGTCAATTGGGAAGTTCACTAACATAGTTTATTTGATTTACCAAAACTGACCGCCATCCATTGACAGGAACACAAGCAGGAAGTTGGTCATCTATCAGAGAGTCATGTTACAACACGTGGATGTGTGAAAAAGGTGTGCCATTGCAGAAATGCAGCTATGAGTTTAAATGTTACAGCTAAAATGAAAATGTGTATTTCATCCTTTTTATTGTTTGAGTCAATACGAAGATGAAACGACTCAATTTCAGCTATTTCTAGAGGGATTAAAAGTAAAAAAGAACTGTAAATATGGGTTGTGTTGTAAACGGTGGTTACAACAGTTGTTCAGCTGAGTGCATAGCTTAGAAATAAAGCAAGGCTGGGTGGGATATCTCTTACCATCCCCCTTTCCTTGATAAAGAACGTAGTAATCTAGTTTGCTGGCAGCTCTAAAAGCTACATCGATCTAATTTGAAAAGATTGAGAGAGCCTGTAGTGCCTGCTGCAGCACAAGGGCTGAAACTAAACATTCAGTTGAGAATCCTACTGCATATCCATTCAGACACGCCCCGTTTCATTTCAGTCCAATTAAAGAGCTACTCTTTTTAAAAGAGACAAAAAAGTATACAGAAAAGGGTCGTTGATGAGCAGTCCATACTCGCTGCTCACAACAACTATATTGGTAGATGGTGCATAATTAACTTTGTAGATATAGGCTGAATCCTAGACTATGGTCTCTTGACTGTGAACTGTCCTGTGTTAAATGGGTTTGGGCTATATTAGGGTTGAGCTATATTGGCCCAACAATCCACTAGAAATAGAATGCCATCTGGGACCCTGTTTCCACCCAGTAAGTCAGTTAGTTTGTGCTGAGCTGCAGGTCTTAAACACTGTGTGAAACACTATAAACCTTCAGTGAGTGACAGCTTCAGTAATTAGAATTGGATCTTTGTCATATTATTTGCTGTGTATTATTTAAAATTTCAAAGTTTTTATCGCAAAAATACAACTGGAATACACAACCCGACTTTTGCCCATACATTTGCCCTGATTATAGTCTGTAGAGGAGTCATTGCTAGTTGACAAAAGTCAGAGCCAGTCTTTTCATTTGCCATGCGTCTACATTGTGTTTGCTGTGCTCAGCGTGACTTAAAGTGGTCATATGATGTTGCTAAAAAGAACATTATTTTGTGTATTTGGTGTAATGAAATGTGTTTATGCGGTTTAAGGTTCAAAAAACACATTATTTTCCACATACTGTACATTATTGTTTCTCCTCTATGCCCCGCCTTTCTGAAACGCGTCGATTTTTACAAAGCTCATCGGTCTGAAAAGCGAGGTGTGCTCTGATTGGCCAGCTATCCAGTGCGTTGTGATTGGCTGAATACCTCAAGCGTGTGACGGAAATGTTACTCCCTTACCATACAGTGATGCCATGTTCCGGCAGGAGCGACGAGACAAAAACATTAAAACCCATTATAAACGAGGCATTTGTTGCATCCAGTGGGGACATAATTACGGATTATAATGAGTTATACTGTCTTTTTACGCGTTGCGTTGCATTGAGCCGCGTAAACATAAAACCATGTCTGCATTTGTGATCGGAGAAATGACAAACAACAAACGCTACTCTACACTGCTCAAAACTCGCGTTTGAATCATCAGTGGCAAATCCTTTAAATATGAAAAACGTACTTACAGTCTGTGAGTCAGAACAGCCGGCATTGTAGTCTACTCTACCAGGATCAGGAAACAGTCCTCCATAAAATGTGCTGCACACATCTGAATATTTGGGTTGAACTGTTCTGAAACAGTGTTGTAAATATAACTTAGCCACTGATTTCTAGTCGTGTACTCTTTTGGAAGACCAAACAAAGTAGTTTCACTTTCACAACGAAACACAGAGCGTCACACAAGGCGGACTTGAATGAGCGGTGGCGGGCGGGCTTAAGAACGGTACGTGGGGGGGGTGTTAGAACGAGCCGTTTTAGGTAGGCGTGGTTGACTCTTAACTTTTATAAAGAATATCTCTTTGGATTTGAGACTTTAGTCTTTGCAACTTTACAGATCTTCTTTATGCACCAAGAGCTTGTAACACTCCAAAGAGAAAGGAAAAATTGAAATCGCATCATATGACCCCTTTAAGTCTGGTATGTGAGATCCTCAGTCGTTTAGTGGTTCTCAACCAGGGATGACTTAAAATTATTTTAATTAATTTATTATTATTAATATATTAAAACAATCTAACTTAAAATGCTAAAAACAAACAAACATGCCATCTAGATTTAAACTGAAATTATATATCTTTTTGTCCCTCAACAGCTGCTGTATTTTATTCTTGAAACTTCTGTAATCACAAAATGAATTGTGGTTAATTTACTTATATCGACACAACCCAAGTTTCTTTTAATAATCGATTATATTTGCTATATATATTATAATTCTGTTAATATTATAGGGAGTCTTTGAATATTGTGTTGGACAATGAGGGACCTTTGAGTTAAAAAGGTTGAGAACCACTGGTTTAGTGTATGATACCCAGTGTTTCTTTGTTACCATTTACAAAGTCGGTAAGTGTATGAGGCCTAGTGATTTAAAATCTGTTCAGATTTGTAGTGTATTCCAGATCTTAATTTAATAACAGTTATCATCTTGATTTGAATTTGTAGCCTACATAGAGAATATGACACGCAATTGACCTACACACAATTTTTATATTGTAATGCATTGTAATCTGTTAAAATTATACTAAGATCTATTTAAAAATGTAAGAATAATCCTTTTTTTTTGTGCAGCCTTTTGTCCAAATCCACCTGTAGCATTAAACACCTTATCAGAAATGGAAATTGCATTGTCATAGATGTTTAAAGGAGTAATCTAGGGTTGTGAATGCCAACAGGTAATGCAAAGGCAAAGCATAATGGATATACTAAATAAGACATCCATTCAGACAGAGTCAGTCATGAGATTTCGAAGATAAATGACATGATATGAAAGGTCTCTCCATATGCAGCAGACAGCGGCTCCCTGATGGTCTGGGTCTGGATTCAACTGCAATCAACACCAGCACCCATCCTCCCTAACCTTGAACCCTGACCTCCGTCCTCCCCTTTCACATATGTTAACACACTGATAATATTGTGCTGTCCTGCCTCCCCTCCTTCCCTCCCTCCTCACCCTCTCTTCCCCTCCCCTCCACCCCCCATCTCCCCCACATAGACTCTCTCTGGAGATAATGACCATCCTCTGTCGCTGTGAGAATATCGAAACTTCGGAGGGTGTCCCCTTGGATGTGACAGGGGTCGCTCAGGTAATCACACTGAATGAAACAAGCCAACCAAATGAGACCGAGAACAATTTGAAGTGCTCAGGATGTGAAGGGCGGTGCCCTGGTTCCATTTCCCACGTTACACACATACACATGCTCTCACGCTCTCTTCCACACTCTTGTGTTGGTCTTCCTCTGCAGTGAAGGAGAGCCAGTCATCTCTCACTATCCTTGTCTGGAGTTTGGCTACGCAGCGCTCATGGCTCATGTAACTGATGTCTCCCGTCAGCCTGTTTTGACTGTTGGGTCTGTAATGGATGACGCACGTATCAGATGGGCTTCCGGGAATATTGTGGGTTGGGAAATAATCTTTAAGGTTCTGGGAATCTGAATCCAGAGGATGCCATTACAGCCCACGGTCAAAACACCTGATTTGTGCCGACCAAATGGTGTGTCTTCGTATTTTCACCATACAGATTCATTTTTGTTTTGTTTACCTTCACGTATTTCTTTAATCCCACCTTCTTTCTTGTTTTCACACCGCTTGACATTCTTCCCGTAGATCATAGCCAACTTTTTTGGTTTGTTTCCCTTTTTTTGCGTTTTCCACAGGATAACCCTTGAGATTATGACCCTGCAACCCAAGTGTGAGGATGTAGAGACAGCGGAGGGGGTAGCTATTACTGTCACAGGTGTGGCACAGGTAAACCACCTTACCTCACCTAACCTCAGCTCCAAATGCCACTTTCAGGTTTGCCACACTGGTTTCAGACCCGACACCCCTTTATCATGCTTTTTTCTCTCATTTCCTTCCCTCCTTTTCTGGTCCCTGAATTTGACCCCCCTCATGATGAACAGTGCCAATCTTAGTATGTTAATCAGACTGAAGGTCACTGGTTTGTGCATGACATTATAAACTGCTGTTCAGTCAATCAAAGACTGAAAAAGTTCTGTTAAGTAAAACAACAAAACAATTTACAAGAATGGCTCTCTTCCAAAACCCAGTGAGATATCTTTGTTGTATACTGCCTGCATAGGCTGCTGTCTTAGGCAGCACCCTATCTGAAATGAAACCCTTATACTGTAAGTGACTATAATCACTAGATGCAACCCAGGATGTTCTACTTTTTGAGACTTGGAATTACGCATTTCTGTGGCAACACTATTAAACGGAATCTGTGTAGTTTTAAGAAATCAATAGACAAAACTACAATACAGCTTACAGTATACAATACAGTACAGTACAATACAGTAACGCTTGTTATGCAAATGCATTATTAACAAAGTTAAAGTTTGTTTAGCAGGACATTAGAATAAGACATTAACAAAAGTCAATTATGTTAATTATTAAAAAGAAGTATTACAAAATAACTGCATGTTACTGCCGAATGTTTTCTCATGACGTTGCAGTGGACCGGGTGGTACAAGTCGTAGCTCTCAGAAGATTCAGGGTTTACAAGTTTTACGAGTTCTACAAGGACATGAACATTTTTAAATCTCATAATTACTTCAAGGCCTGCATGTACCTACTCTTAACAAGCATAAAAATATGTATCACAGAAATATTGAATAAAATTGTCCACTGGGCTCATGGCAATAAATTATGAGACTGACTTCTCCACAAAATATACAGAATTCGACCAAAATGAGGTGTCTAATCTTCCTATATTTTCAAACAGCTGTTTCATCGGGAGTGCATCTGTGATGCCTTATATTTAGAGATGCACCAATACTGAATTTCTCTGCCGATACCGATTATTCAGAATTAGATGCTGATACCGATAGTTTGGTTTTCTTAAGGAAAAAAATCTCTCCTAAACGATGCTGTTAACTACACAGGGAACCCTATCATTTGGCACATTACTATAATATTAAAGGTTAAAATTAACAACAGAGCTATTATATTCAACTGCTATTTATTTTCAGATATCACAATTACACTCAAATAAAAATTGAAATAATTGGTCTTCATAAATACCTGTCTTCATGCCAGATTTATTCCAACATATATAATTATAAGTAAAAAAAGCTCCTCTTTAGTGTTGTTTTATAGCTAACTAATGACATTAGTTAGCTATATAACTAATGACGTAAAGTGACATATTGTTCACAATCTGTTTTATTGGCATCTTTCCACGGTTGAAACACTGATTGAGCGATTACATTAGACATGATACATTTTGGTAAGCTATACTGTTTCTTTCAACATACCTTCTGATGTTCATTCATGTTTATTTTGCGCTATAACTTATTAAAGTGCAGAGAAAAACTGCGGATCTGCCAGCCCTGGCTTGAACTACGAGTGATTCAGAGGGTCAAATAGAGCCTACTTTAATGTTGCTATTTTTATTGACAGCCCTAAATTCAACAGAGAGATTTTCTCCACACATAATATGAGTTGCAATCTGACACATTTTTCTGCCACCTTTTGATTGAAAAGGATATCATCGGCCGATGGCCAATAGTGACGTAAATTGCTTTTATCGGCCGATACGGATTATTGGCCAATACATCGGTGCATCTCTATATTGCCACATTCTTGGTTTTAGAACAGAGCCAATATGTTGCCACATTCTGTGACCTTCATGTCATTGTAGTGTAGATGTTACAGATGTTTGTAATCGTTTTCTTTTTTAACCATCTAAAAGCTTTTTGTAATTGTTTTCTTTTTTTAACGATCTAAAAGCTTTTCTCAAACAGACAAAAGGAATCTGGATGAAATTATATGCTGATTTCTTTTTTCTTTGATGTCTTTACCTTGACAGTTTTTGATTGTTCTCTGTTAGCATGTCAAAACGTTCTGTGTTTATCTGAACTCACACGTTTACTCTAATGAACATTTCTCTGCTCCTTTGAAAACCCAACTTCAGTGTGGAAGTGCTCATTTCCACTATGGTTACAACTGAGCATATTACATTATTATTTAATTTCAGTTCCCAAAACCTGATTCTCTTTTTTTCATCTATTATTTTTTTTCTGTGAATAGTTAGTCTGGTGTGAACAATGAGAGCATTATAACACAGAGGCAGTCCATCCATTACACATCATTTATTTCTGGAAGTCACATGTGATTGGATGAGGAGCTTAAACAAGACATTCCACAATTCATAGAGATACTCCATAGAGACTTGAGCTCAAGGTCTCTTCATAGAGAGACTGTGTGATTACATTTGTCCGTTGTATCAAAACAGCGACGATTATTCAATAAGAATGAGTCTGTAATACACTGTTTTGCCCTGCATGTTATATCTAGGGCAGTGGTTCCCAATCCTGGTCCTGGAGAACCCCCAACACTGCACATTTTAGATGTCTCTCTATTCAAACACACCTGATTCAACTCATCAGCTCATTAGTGAAGACTCCCAAGACCTCAAATGTGAGTGTCAGATAAGAGAGACACCAAAAACGTGCAGTGTTGGGGGTTTTCCAGGACCAGGATTGGGAACCACTGATCTAGGGGTGTAATTTGGGCGTTTCATCAATATATTTGATTTTTATTCTCTTAGCAATGCAATATTTTCTGACACCACAATAACATTATGATTTGAAAACTGCAAATACTGTAGTTCCATTGGAACAAGTTGCATAGGAGTTCGTCTGTCATCTAATGACAGGTCATCATTGGCTTGTGCAATGACATACGCACTGACAACAGTCAAGAAAGTCTTTTATTCTTCTAAAATGTGCACGTCTAGTATCCCCATTTTGATTTTATGCGTTTTATCATATTGTTAGTCTCTCATTTGTTTGATGCATCAATCCATATCAATGTATCATTACATCCCTAGTTAACCCCCCAAATTTTATAGCGACTGTGAGATGTCTGTCTTGTGTGATTTGTAAATGGACCCACTTATCTGTTGGCCACCCAGTCGTCTGCAATATCCTCCTCCTTGAGTCTGTTTTCTATTATAAATCAATCCTCGTACATGTTCACCAGCAGACAAAGATACAGACCCAGATAATACTTGCACTTTGGGTTGTTTTTTTTGTTTAGTTTTTTTCCAAGCTCAAAATAGCATTTTCTTAACAATGTGGAAAGTTAAAGAGAAAGTTTTCTTTAATCCTAGAACACATTTTTAGTCTTGCCCTACTTTCGTTTTTACTGTCTTGCACGATTTCCTCCCTTTGAGTTTACTCTGTGGTTTCCCATGAGCGCAACATCTGAATGTTTCTTTTTGTTTTAGTTTGGGGCAAAATGTTGTCATCAGTGCACGCAGCCTCCATTTGAATACTTGTTAAAGCATGGCTCCCCCTGCTGACTGTGAATGCTACAACACTTCATTGTTATTGATATTTTTTATTTACATATCTGTCCTAAATGACTGATTCTGATGATTCTGAAATAACTCAATTAGACTCTGTAATATTCATCTTTTCGACTGGCCTATCAAGTTCTGTTCACACCAACATAAGTGTTCAGCAGGAAAATATGTTCGGATTTTCGCATGCGATTTGTCTGTTCAGACCAATTTTTGAAAAGCAGAAGTACCCTGGTTACTCTGAGACACAAAGCGAAGATACGCCAGATACAAGAGTACAATGATGAGAGTCAGTTTCCAGATTCTTCATCTGCTATTTACTGTCATTTAGCAAAATGCCACCAGTCATGGTTTTGTTTAACAGCAGCAGCTCTGGGCATGTGACGAAAAAGTACAAATCTTATTGGTTGGCCAGTTTTCTTTCTCAGTGCAACTGAAAATGTTAAAATGTTTTATTACACCAAATTTTTGCACTGAATGTTAATCTTGGTGTGAACAGGCCTTCATTCTGATTACTCTAAAAATGTAATATCTGTATTTCTATTTGGAAATATGGTTCCAGACCTGGAACATTTATCTACAGCATCAGTGATACTAGACCAGCCATTACCAGATGCCATTCACAGGGCATTACTCCTGTAATATGGAGTTATTTGAGATTCATTCTGCGTCTAATGTTTTCCCCCATCCACATTTGTGGCATCATGCTGCCGTGTATTGCATTGCTTGTAATATACCACATCTTTAACTGTTTGATGACTGCTCGACTATGGGGAGGATGCACCCTCCTGCCAGAGTTGGTTGAAGTTCACCTTTGACACTGCACTGAAATCAGCTTTCGTCATAAATGTACTGCTGCAATAACCAGGCCACATGCAGATTTTTTTCAGCTCTGAAAAAGTTTTTTTTTTTAATTTCATATTTTAAATGGGAAGCTGGTTGTAGTTCAGTAGAGAGAACCTTAAACCCACAAAAACTCCCCCCTCTCTTTCTGACGCATGACTTCATTCTCCTTTCCTTTTCACAGCCATGGAGAGAGATTCCTGGTATTATATTATTTTTATTTATTTTACTTTATTTTGCATGCAGACATGAACATTTAGACCCAATTTTGAGTTTAAGTTTTTTTTTTCTTCCATCAGGTTTGGTTTTACCACCCTTTACACTAATTGTACGTTCCATAATTCATACTAATGCTGGGTGGTATAGATAAAAATATGTCTCTATATTCTTAGCTTTTTGATAATATTATGTATATCTCAGGTTTTTTTTTAAATATGTTTTGCAAGACAAGGATAGCAAAACATGTAATCACCCTGACTTTAGAAAACTTAATAAACAAATAACAAATAAAAAGTCATAGCAATATTCCCAATTTTGCTTTTATTAATTTTACATTTATGTAAATGAATGAATCACAGATATATTGTAAATATTCTATATATATATATATATATATATATATATATATATATCACCCAGCCATTCACTCTGCTTGAATGTAATGAGACATTTGGACTTCTTAAATATTTTATTTCATATTCTGTTTATCAACACCATAAACTCATGATCCTTTTACATACTGATTTGCAAGCAAGTCGCATGAATACTGACTGAAGCATGTCCCTCAATCAACCACAACCTCAATCATACCCAACATTACTACATCCAGCTGATTTGTTTGTGCTGAATGTCTGTCCCTCACACCTGGAAAATATTCTTTTACATATGTCAAACTGTAAGTTGATCAAATATTATGTATAAGAAAACTGTTAAGATGCTAGAAGATTCTGAGTGTGTCTCTGAAACATTTTTGCTATATTATAGCTATTCATAACCATAAATGTGTACAGTAAAACATCAGCTGACTGTTCTACTGTCTATGTGGAGTGCATTGTATGGAGTTGTAGGTTTCAGTGGCATGCTGTGATCCAGTTTGTGTCATGGACCATGACTATATGTGTTCTGCTACTAGGTGAAGGTCATGACTGACAATGAGCTGCTGGGTTATGCCTGTGAACAGTTCCTGGGCAAGACAGTGGCAGAGATTAAAAGCGTCATTCTGCAGACGCTGGAAGGTCACCTGCGCTCTATTCTGGGTGAGTGATGCTGGACACTTGTGTCTGTCTTCAATAGCGTGCTCTTAACTTCAGTGTGAAGAGTTCAGACAGTGTGCACAGGTAGTGTTAGGTCTAAGTTCTTGCCAGATAAGCAATATGACCAGCAGCCACTCTTATCAACAGATCAGTCAAGGTTAGGGACATTATGTGGTTAAAAGCTTCCTCTGCTCTAGCAGTGCATTTAGAAAATTGATACATCCTTTATAATGGCAGACTTCGGTCCATTTCCTGGAGGACGGATGAGGAGCATGAAAACAAGGGAACATCATGTCTTTCATGTCCCCACTAACCTCATTTGCTTGTGTTTACAGGGACTCTGACGGTGGAGCAGATCTACCAGGATAGGGATCAGTTTGCCAAGCTGGTGAGGGAGGTGGCGGCACCCGATGTGGGCAGGATGGGCATTGAGATCCTAAGCTTTACTATTAAGGTGTGCTTACATTGGTACATGTATACACATGGATAGAGTTTCTGTTTTACTTTGCTTTTAAATTTTGGTTTTCAACAATCAGTCATTATCTTTCAAAACCATTGCAGTTGTCAGGGTGAAATTGTTCTCCGTTTTCTCCCATCAGGATGTCTATGATAAGGTGGACTATTTGAGTTCCTTGGGGAAATCCCAGACTGCTGCTGTTCAGAGAGATGCTGACATTGGCGTGGCTGAAGCAGAGAGAGATGCTGGAATCAGGGTGAGCTGAAGAAATAAAGGAGTCACTTTCCATGACGGTAGTACAAAATAGCTCTTGGAAAATTGAAATATGTAGTTAAAAAAAAAAACCTTTAGAGAGAAATGCTCAGGGGAAAATATTGATCATCAGGATGTCAAAATATTTCAGATAATAATTCAGATCAGAATCATTTTGGACATATCTGAGAAAATAAAAACACATCTTGAAAAGTAAAGGCTTGCATTGTTAAAAAAGATTTCCATAATAAATAAATGCTGTTCTTTTGAAGTTTGTATTTATCCTGAAAAAAAATGCATCACTGTTTCCACAAAAATGTTAAGCAGCACGGCTGTTTTCTGCATTTTTAATAATAATAAATGTTTCTTGAGCACCAAATCAGCATGTTAGAATGATTTCTGAAGGGGTCATGTGACACTGAAGACTGGAGTAATGGCTGATGAAAATTCAGCTTTGCTATCACAGCAATAAATGACATTTTAAAATATATTGCAATAGGAAACACTTATTTTAAATTGTAATAATAGTTTACAGTATTACTAATTTACTGAATTTTTGAACAAATAAATGCAGACTTGGTAAAAATAAGAGACTTCTTTCAAAAACATTAATCTTACCAACCCCAAACTTTTAAACAATAGTGTACAGTATATACGTAACAATAGTGTACAGTATATAATAATATGTACAGTATTATTGTCATAAACATGAAATAAACACCAAAATTGAATGACAACATTTAGATAAAAGTACTTAAACCAAAATTAAGATTTCACTCATTACAGGGCTGGCTAGTTTAAGACCAAATGTTGATTAGTTTTTTTGGTAATTAAAATGAACTTGTCATTTAAATTTGTTTTTACTACAGTTGCTAAAGTATGAATTCAACAGACTGTCAAACATTTTGACACCAAAAATCTTAGGGCAGCAAATTGTATTCTAATCTAAAGATTTTTTTAAAAAGTGCAGGAGAGAATATGTGGAAAATGTGCAAAAGCAAGTGGTGTGTGGAACTAGTTTTTTCTCACATTCCTTATTCCCTTGTTTTAGGAAGCAGAATGTAAGAAGGAGATGATGGATGTGAAATTCCAAGCCGATACAAGAATGGCAGACTCAAAGAGAGAGCTGGAGATGCAGAAGGCTGCCTTCAATCAAGAAGTGAACACAAAGGTAGAGCTGATTATTCCTCTGGTTATTTTAATACTGCAGTTGCACTGATCAATCAAATATGTGACACTTAAACACAACAAATATAATTGTTTTTTCCTTTCACCTATCTCAGAAAGCTGAGGCGCAATTGGCCTATGAGCTTCAGGCAGCCAAGGAGCAGCAGAAGATCAGACTGGAGGAGATTGAGATTGAGGTGGTTCAAAGGAAAAAGCAGATCACCATTGAGGAAAAGGAGATCCTGAGGACAGAAAAAGAGCTGATCGCCATCGTGAAGAGACCAGCTGAGGCTGAAGCCTACAAGATGCAGCAGCTCGCAGAGGCACAGAAGTGAGTAACACGAGTTGTATATGTACTAGGGATGTCAACGATTAATCGATGATCGATTAATTGTCGATAAGAGATGCAATCGATTAAAGCTATCGATGGTCGATTAAGCCGTTTAATTTTGGGCTGCGTGCGGCTCATGCGCAAAACACGTGCGAGCGGCTGTGAGTGACGGTGACGGTATATAAATGCATCATCATTCACTCATAATTACAAATTAAGCTTTTAATGTGATTTAAACTTTAAAAGTACATTAAAATAGAAACAACACAAAGTTCTTCCACATGGAATGCAATAGAAATGTAGTAACAGTCATTTCCCCAGATAATTCTTTCATATTTGAAACAATTAGGTGAAGGTTGCAGGGCTGCGGGACACTGCGGGGGAAGGATTCATTCCTACAACTTGTTAATTCGTTCCTACGACTTATTAATTTGTGGCCACTGTCCATGTTTCATTCATTTTGTTCCTTAAATAACCATGATTTAACTAAAATGAGGGAACAAATTAATACATCGAACGAATTCTTAATTCATGGCCTTGAAATCTTTCATTTCCCTTCCGCATGTTTGCCACAGTAAGAGATGCGAAAACAGTGATAAAAAGTGAATGACAATAAAAGAAACCTGCGAAATTAGAGGGTTAGACGGTGAGGATTTAGGAAAAGAAACAATGCCTAAATATTATTGAATTTGTGGAAATTCGTGACCAAGAACAAAGCCACATAAATGTAGGCTATATGGGCTCGAACGGAGGAAAAGAAACAATAACAAAAATATTGAATATATTATTGAATTTGTGGAAATTCGTGACCAAGAACAAAGCCGCATAAATGTCGGCTATATGGGCTCAAACGACATCCAAAAGCATGGTCGCGATGTAAGATTTTCCAGCTAAGCAAATATTCCTCTAATAAACAAAGCTTTTATTACCACACTTGTCATAATCAGAGCTTATAATTTGTAAATAAATACTTACTGGATTCAAAACAGCAATTAAAAGGCGCTGTGACCGACACTGACTATACGTTTTCCCGGAGCATTCAATGATGTTACTAAACGGTGATGCCACAACTATGAGCATCGTTCACAAGTTTCTGCAGGACCTAACTAGCCTAGGGCCAGGTTTTCAAGCCCTGGGACAAAATGGGATGCTTTAAGGAAAACTTATAGCCTATGTAAGCAATAGGCCTAAATAAAAATAACAATTTGTTTTCATAAAAAAAAAGCGAAATATATCTGACTTAAATAATTAAGCTAACAGATTTAAAACAGAAGTGTGGCACTCCATAAACAAGTTCACGGAAAGGAAAGGAAAGGAAAGGATGACAACGCGCATTCTGTTTGTTTGCTTTATTTTGCAAAAGCACAAATCTTGTTTTTATTGTGAGTGTGCAAAAATAAAAGTAAACACCTTTG